AAACTGGTCATGTAAAAAAGGCGGACAAAAGGAACAAAAAAATTATGAAAATTATATCGCATAACATCGGGCAATGCATTTTTCATCAACTGACAAAAAAAAGCGGAAATATTTTTGTGATTCTGGACGAGTTAATACAAAAACCTAAAGAGCGGTGTGAAAAATGCATTAATCAGAATTAAACAAAAAAAAATTAAACAAAAACACAGAGCAACAACAGCGAATTATTATGAATAATAAAAGAGCGCGCAGAACTTTTTACACAATTTTCAATTAATAACATCCCCCGCAATTTGTGAGGGAATGCGCCTGGAGAGCCGGGTGAAAATATTGCCAAACCGCTAAATGTTAATTAGTTAAAAGCCCAAACTACGCATTAACACAAACGGAAAGCCCCCGCAGTCCCGAGCTGGCATCAAAAAACCAACCCAAACTCGGCCCGATTGCAAATGCAAACACAGACAGAGCATCACATTTCCCCAGTTTTTATTTTTTTTTTGCCTTTTGTTTGTATGATTTTGTACACTTTTTCATTTTTATTTTATTTTTCATAAGCCATTTTACATAATGTGCAATCCGGTTATGTACACACCTATGCAGAATGTTTGTTCAGCTTTCTATATAAATTAAATGCTTGTATAAAAAAAACGTCAATATTTAGCTAACCAGTAAAGGGGGAAAAAGAAAACACACCACCTATATATTATCCTTTTGTGTGGAAATGAGCAATGTGTTTTAAAATGACAATAGATCACTTGGCTAGAAGTTACTGTAACCTTAACACAACCGATGGGAATCCATTTATTAAAAATATATTAAAAGGACTCGCAAGCAGAATTCTCATTTAAATTCAATTCACATTTCATTGGCATTCCGCGGCCGATTGTCATGTCAATTAAATCTCAGAGACCTCTCAACTCTTACATATCAATTTCATAAATAATTCGTTAATCGGGAATTAACACTTGCAGTAACCACAAAATATTCAATCGAAGCCAGAGTCAACACACACGTCCAAAGTGTTGACAAATCTATATTTTTTTGTCGTAATTTTTCCCGAATCGGCTAAAATCTAACCCACAAAAACTCCAATTCAAGGCCATTGCAATCACTAAACAAACTAATAGAAAAAACAAGATGAAAAACAGCGACACGGACATGACGTTAGTACAAACACAACGCCCAAACCATGAATGAATAATTTGTCGCGTTTAGAAATAGAAAATCTCAAATTGGAGCATTTCAAATACAATAAAAGCAGCAGCGGGGAAAAATACCATCGAGGACTTTCACCTGGAAAATTCCACAGGATGTCTGCGGCATGTCTGCGCCTGAATGACTGTCTAACCAAAAAAAATACAAAAAATAGCTAAACTGGGGAGGGGAAAGTGCAAAAGCAGCGTCAGGCATTTATACAAATATATAGAAAAAATCTAATCGAAGTCGGACCAAAAAGAGGATTGCATAGAAAATAGAAAACGGAAAACGGAAAAGCGGACAGCTGAGAGCGCTGAAAATCGTGGGTGAAAGAAAAAAGAAAATATTCCTGTCGCGGGAAAAAAACGTTTACGGGGAATAAGGAAAAAATTGTGAACAGGCATAGCAATTGAAAATGCAAAATAAAAAGTAAACTGTGCGACAAAAAATGGCGTTAGATTTAGAACAACAAAAGCGAAGACAAAAAGTCGCTTTTCCGGCCCGCCGGTGCAGTCAGTCGGGGAACCAAAGGCTTTTTTGCGGTCTCCAGTCTCGCAGGTTTCCATCTGAGCTCCATTTTTGTTATTCCCCTTTATTTAATATTGGCTTTGGCAGTTGTGGCAAAATGTCAACAAACCACCCAAGCGCCAAGCGTTGCTTCAACATTTTTATTCTATTTCGCAAATTGTTGCTTTGGCATTCATTAAACGCTAAACTGGGTGGAATCTCTGGCACGAGAACTGTATTTGAAAAACTTGGTTAACTTGGTTATGGTTAATAAAATTATTTCCATAGAACTAGGAAAACTAGGAGACAATTTTTAGAATAAAATTAACTGAAGACGAATCAGTTTGACCATTAATTCTAAACTAGAACAATAGTCATTTTCCCCGAACTAGATGCGAATTTGTTCTTTAAATGTGAGTAGATTTATTTTTAGTCGCTTCTTCTGGCATTTTTCTTCTGTTAAGTTTTATAAATACATTTAAATTGTGATTCGTATTGTCTTTCAATTTTTTATCTTAATAAGTTTTGAAGATAATTGGACAGTTCTGATCATTTTTGTTTTAACTCTCCCTTATGATTTTGCTTTTCCGTCTTTTATTTGGTTTCTGTGTTTTGTTACTCAATAATGTCGACAATTTATAGTGAACTCGTTTCTAAAATCATTCAATAATATATAGAGGTCTCCGCGTACTCTAAAACGAAATCTCATACGAGTAAAATTACGAATTACGTATACGATCCCAAATTACGCATACGCCCAGTAGTCTTCTGGAACTATAACTTGTATGAAGTTGGAATACTTTTAGTTACTAAAATTTTGATTAAATTTAAATAATAATTTTTTTATAAAAGCTTAGAAATCAAATTAAATGTGACCGAAACCAAATCGGAAAATTACTCACACAATCAAAAATTACGTATACGCAACGTATTCTTTTTGGCTATATCTTGACAATATCAATTTCAAATGCTCTCCAAAATACAAATAATAATAATTAATAATTCTATATGAAAATTATAGAAATCCTAGTGATTAAAATCCAAATCTGGAAAAATTACGTATACGCAGCGTATTCATTTTGAACTATACCTTGACATCAATGTTAATTCTAAATGCTCTCAAAAAAAACAAATAATATTATAATTACTAATTCTATATCAAAACTATAGAAATCAAAGTTATTAAAGCCCAAATCTGAACGCCCATACGATCAAATATTACGTATACGCAGCGTATTCTTTATGAACTTTACCTTGACATCAATATAAATTAAAAATTCTCTCCAAAATTAAGTGAATAAAATAGTGTTAATAATAATTACCTATTTTATGTAATAACTATAAAAATCAAAGTGATAGAAACTTAATCTGAAAAAATTACGCTCAAAAATTACGCATACGCCCGGTATGCTTTTTAAACTATATCTTGAAAACAATAACAATTCGAACTGCTCTAGAAAACTGAGTAAATAAAATATTCTTGATAAATATATAATAAATAATATATCCTAAAATAATAAATCTGTATCAAAATTATAGAAATCAAAAGTGAAAGTGATAAAATCGAAATCTAAAAGAATACTAATCAAAAATCATAAAGTGAAAGGACAAAAAGGAAACTAAAAAGCCAGCCAAATTGGATTTAATAAGCAGCCAAATGGAGGGCCGCCTGATCGAGTACCGACCGATTGGCGGTGGCCTCGATTACCACCACAATTCGCCGCTGATTGGGGAGATTCCACCTGCCGGCGGGGACTATTCCCACGCGGTGCACCGGTCCATCGACCACCTGCGGAACAGCCTGAACGAACGCGTCGCCCTAGGTCCCCTGAGTGTCTTCTCCAATACGGCGGACCTGCGGAACTCCGTCCTCAGCTACAGCCAGCAGCCACAACAGCAGTCCCACCCAGCGCACCAGCAGCAGCAGCAGCAGCAGCAGCAACAGCAACAGCATCCGCATCCCCATCCGCAGCAGCAGCAGCACCAGTACCATCTGGTCCCAGAGCCCAAGCCGAGCATCACGAACCTGGAAAGTAGTGTCGCCTCCGCGACGGTGGCCAGCGGTCCGGTGAGCAGCAGCCAGAAGCATGTCAACGAGGCGGTGGTCAGCAGCAGCAGCGGCAGCTCCTCCACCGCTGTAGCCGCCACCGGAACAGCACCCACCGGTTCCACCAGGGGCCGCAAGTCACGCATTTATCCCAATCCCAACCAGCACATTGTCGTGACCAGCAACAGCGTAGACAATGGCGGCATCCGGATGCAAAATGCCACTCTCAACGAGCGGAATGCCCAGAATCCGGCCACTGGAGCTGGGGCTGGGACTGGGGCTGGGTCTGCCGCTACTGGGGTCGTGGCAGTGACAGCGGGTTCCGGGAACGGTATCTCCTCCTCCACCAGTTCGCCGCATCACATGTCTCAGCTGGACGTGAAGGATACCAAGGTGAAGCGGAGCATAATTCAAGGGTTTTTTCTGGGAAATGGGAACTTTAGTAATACATTGCTCGATCTTATTTAATTTAGTAATATAAATAATTTAATTTAAATTTAATTTTGTTTGCAATTAGGGTGAGATTGCCTGTTAATATTTCGAATATTTCTTTGAACCTAAGAATATTTCGTAATAGTATATAAACAATCTGTTTTTAGTATCAGCTGCATATCCACTCCAGCTGCTTACCATTGGCATGATCATTTGATCATTAATTTAAGTTCAAAAACCAGGACATTGTGCCTGTGTATAAATGGTACTAAAAATTATTAATTTTGATCTAAATAAAATATTCTAATTGAATTATTTAAACCGTAATAAAGGGTCTAAAGTATATATCTAGAACTCAGTGCTATTCTTTTTTTATTACATTTATTAATTAAAAAAAAATAAAAATCTCAGCAAGCTTTTTTATAAATGACCATTTTTTATTCAACTTTTTATGTACAAAAAAAATTATTTATAAATACTAACAGAGTCGTCATAGGTGTTTTTTGTATTCGCTTTGATCCTACGGAAAGTTAGCACTATTTTCTTGGGCTCAGAATTTTTTAAAATTTCTAAAGCGTTATTACAAAAAAAAGATGAAAAAAGTATTGTTTCGATATGTAAGTCCACAGTTTAGAGTTTTTTCTACTAAAACTTTCCTAACCTTATTTTAATTTACCATTTACACACCAAATTGATTTCTGATGAATCTTAAAGAGTTTGGTGGTCTATCGATATGGTCAGCCAGCAGCTAGCCAGCAAGGAACACAGCTTTTATGCTTCTAAACCTAACTTAATGAACCATTCCTGTACCCCACAGATCTTCAGCTCGAAGGCGGACCTGCAGCTGCACACGCAAATCCATATGCGGGAGGCGAAGCCGTACAAGTGCACGCAGTGCTCGAAGGCCTTTGCCAACTCATCGTATCTGTCGCAGCATACGAGGATCCACCTGGGCATTAAGCCGTACCGCTGCGAGATCTGCCAGCGCAAGTTCACGCAGCTCTCGCACCTGCAGCAGCACATCCGGACGCATACGGGTGACAAACCGTACAAGTGCCGGCATCCCGGCTGCCAGAAGGCCTTCTCGCAGCTCTCGAACCTGCAATCGCACTCCCGCTGCCATCAGACGGATAAGCCCTTCAAGTGCAACTCCTGCTACAAGTGCTTCTCGGACGAACCGTCGCTCCTGGAGCACATCCCCAAGCACAAGGAGTCCAAGCACCTGAAGACGCACATCTGTCAGTATTGTGGCAAGTCCTACACGCAGGAGACCTACCTGACCAAACACATGCAGAAGCACGCGGAGCGGACGGACAAGCGACCACCGATTGTACCGGGCAGTGCAGCAGCTTTGGCAGCGGCTGCCGCTGCTGCTAATCCCGCCAATGGACCCCCACAGCCACCGCCTACCAATCCCCAATCCGCCGCCGCCGCTGCTGCCGCCCAGCATCAGCGCAATAATCTGGGCCTGCCCCCCGTTTCCATAGCACCCAGCGATAATGGCTATTGGCCCAAGGTGAGTCCCGACTCTGCCGCTGCAGCCAATGCCATGGAGGTGATGCATCAACAGCAGCAGCAGCAACAGCAACAGCAGCAGCAACAACAACAGCAGCAGCAGACCCATCACCATCATCCACAGCACGGAGTGCCACCACAGCAACATGTCCCGCCACAGCAGCAGCAGCAACAACAGCAACAGCAGCAGCAACAGCAACACCATCATCCGCAGCAGCAACAGCCGCCGCCGCAACATGGCATGGAGGCGCACTACGTCCAACCGACGGCACCGAATAGCGCCCAGAGCAATGGTCATGGAACAGAGCTTCAGTCGCATCATCGCATGCCAGATCCAGTTCGAGAGGATATAGGTGAGTGCTATGTTATATTCTTTATATGTTTTAAGAGAGATTAGATTATTATAAAGGATCAAAAACTTGGCTTAACGTTAATTATCAGTAGGCGCCTCTATCGATTCAACTTAATATGTTAGAGTTCTTTCTTTAAAACAAACTCAGGGAGTTTTAATTTTTGTAAAAATGTAAATGAATGTTATTATTAATTCATACATATGTTAAAGCTCACCAGGAGACTAAACATTAAACTTAAAATTAAATTTAAAATTACTTGATTTATATCAACATTACATAAAATAAAATGTTTAGGTAATGATAACTTCAATTTCGGCCTATAAAAACTATCCATCTCTTTTTATACTATTTCAGGGTATTATAAATTCGGTCAGAAGCTTAAAACGCAGTGAAGGAATCATTTCCGACCCTATAAATCATATATGTTATTGATCAGCATTAACAGCTGAATCGATCTAGATATAACCAGTCAAAATCTATTTTTAATAAAATTTTTTAAAATTTCAAAATTTTATAAGGGGTAACATCATTAAAATTGCCAAAATTTGACAAAAAAAGGATTTTTTTAATTTGAAAACTGAGTATGCAGCTTTGTTAATCTACTAAAAACTAGCAAAGAACAGCTTTCCGAATTAAAATTAATGATTTATTGGCTTAGTTATGAATTTTTTTAAACTATGATTTTTGGGAAAAATTGCCTGTTTTTCTACCTTTTTGCAGCTTATTATAATTTTAGTTACAAATTTATAACAGCATCAACAAACGCAGTATGCAGATTTGTTAGTGCTATAAAAACATGCACAGAAACGCTTTCCGAATCAAAATGAATGTTACTATGTTAATATGATTTTTTTAAACACATTTGCTGTTTTTACTCCTGTTTGCAGGGTTTTTTTTATTTTTGTCAAAAGTTTTTTATTGCATCAACACACGCAGTATGCAGATCTGTTAGTGCTTTAAAAAGTCGCACAGAAAAGCTTTCCGAATCAAAGTTAATGATATTTCAGCTTAATTATGACATTTGGAAAACATGAATTTTTCAAAAATGTTTGTTTTTATACCTTTTTAAAGAATATAAGTTAAGTCAGAAGCTTGAAACGTAATGAAGCAGTCATTTCCGACCCTACAATCCACATATATTATTGATTAGCATCAAAAACTGAGTCGTTCTAGCCATGCCCGGCCAAAAAATAAATTTTAAAACTGAGTATGCAGATTTGTCAACCTATTAAAAACTAGCATTGAAAGGCTTTCCGATTTGAAATTAAAGCATTTTTGGCTAAGTTTTGATAATTTACATTGTGCAAAGGTAAACAAACTTTGGCATCCCGAAGGTAGCTTCTTTTTCCGTTTCATGATATATTTTTTCCGTGTTGTTTTGTAACCCCCGTCTTGTTTTCCATTTCCAGTTTCGACTCCCAGCGCCGTGGGTCCCTATGACGCCGCATCCATTGCCAAGAGCGCCAGCAATTCGGCTTTCACGCCGATCAACTCGATGCCGCCGCACTTGAATTCGCTGAGTCACCATCCGATGGCCCAGCGACCTTATCTCTACGATGCCATCAGCTTTCCCAATAAGAACGTGAACCAGAACAATGCCAACGCGTTTCCCAATCAGCTGATCTCGCTGCACCAGATCCGGAACTATGCCCACCAACCGGCGGGTTTGATGGCCGGCGAGCATCTCCTGGGCGTGAGCGTGGGCCCCGGCAAGGAGAAGGGGTAGCTAGGGTCCTACTTCTAAGTTTCCCGTTCAAAGACCACGATTATTTATCCCAGCAAGGACGAGGCGTGCATTCCTGTACAGTATTAATTTGTAGTTAGTCGTAGAGCGTTAGGGACTGATGGTAGTTTCCGTTTCGGTTTAAGTTAACGGGGAGTTAAGCACACTGTAAATGGCCAACGATACGTATTCTGATTTGACTAACACCGTCCACACCTTAGTTTACACGATATCTCGGAATATGAACTATGCACTCTGTCCGGCAAACAAAAGGTTCTCCTTCCCATCAATCAATAAGTTGTCCAAGACGTCGTCCATGTGGATCAGTATGTATATATATATAATTGATAACGTATTTATTTTCGATGCACAAACGGATCTCGCAGTCCTGAATCAATGGCAGAAGCTGCAAACTACGCCGATATATGTACATAAATATACATCAACCTAAAAAGAAACTAACCGGCAAAAGTAATTTACATTAAATCTTCAAATATATTCATATATATATTTGTTTACGTGTATCGTATTAAATTCAGAAATTTCTGAAAGAAGTTTCTCGAGAGACAAAGTAAAATATAACAAAAATAAAATTCAAACTATAGATGGAACTATGCGATAGATGAAAACTATTTTGAAAAAAAATTAAAATAAAAACATTTTCTAAGTACATAAATGTTGACAAAAGGCAAAAACCGAAGACGGATTCAAATAAAGCCCACACAGAGATGATGTTGTATTACTTTTTGGAAAGACTGAAGTGATCAAAATTAACGAAAATGAAAAAAGAAAAACCGAACAACATACATATAATGATAAAGATAAAGCTAAAGATATCAAAACATTTTAAAGAGCGTTTTTACCGCAGTTACTAAGCAAAAACTGAATGTGTCCTATGAAATTTCGTACTAAATGGCAGAAACTAAACCTAAATACGAGTATGGCAACATCAAATGTAATGTATTATTAACTAAAGTAATTTTAACTTTAATATAAATCTAATTATAAATATTAACTAACCCATAGCTAGTGTTTAACTCCAGAATGCAATCTCAATGTAAAGAAAACAAAAGCGAAACAAAACACAAAACCAGAACAAAATACCTACCTTGTAAGTGAATAGCAAAATGAACTCTGACCCACAACAACTCACTCACACACACACAGAAACACACACACATGCAGACGCATCAAATAGAAACATTTGGGGTATTCAGATAGCCGAGCTAAATGATTATTGTTTTACCGTTTAACGATTACAAAACACGATTACAGTACGAATATTCGAATTCAGAGTATAGTTCCCGTTCCCAATCGGACACCGATCGAACGGATAGCCGAATATGCATACCTAAATAATTGTCAACAGTAGATGTGTGTTCCTCAGTTGATGTACATTGATTTCCGATTAACCACGAACTCAGCCCGTAATAAAGTGAATTAAATGTTTCCCTTTCCCTGTGTTTAGTCCAATATCTCTTCGAATGGCTTTCAGGATCGGACTGATGTCGGTTCATATCGAGCTGTCAGTAATCACCACTCTTTTTGAGTTGCCGTCCACGGGGAACCCCGATAGCCTCTTCTGTGAGACACACTAATCTCACACGAACGCCGATCTCCAAAGGCTGGAGGAAATGCACCAAGTTCAGGACGTTATCCGATGCCCTGGATAAAGCAAAATAAATAAATCAAACGTAAAGAGCACGGGTTGCTTTGAAGACAAATTGCTGAAACAGTGCTCTGTTGTGACCAGGATATACAGTCACAGGAAGTGAAGTCAATCAGCAATCCAAGTGAAGGACACTTGTGATCTTCTTGCACTCCTTGACTCACCTGCTCAAAGGATGCCTCCAGATGTCACCCTTGCAGACGTTCACCTTGTTGCCGATAAGACAAAGTCCGTTGGTACAACTAAGTATTATAGTACTATCATATTATAGTACTATAGTCAGAAGCTTAAAATGCAGTGAAGAAGTCATTTCCTACCCTATAAACCATATATATTATTGATCAGCATAATAATAATAATAATAAATTCATAAAAACAATAATTTGTTAAACTGTAAACTAACAATGCAATCAATTTTATGTATTTTTGTCTTAGTTATAATGATTTTCGTGATCAAACTGCAAGGATATGAAGACTTCGTTTTCCCCTTTTTTCTCCCTTATTGTTAATTATTTTATTAGTATTTTATTTTATATGTTTAGAATAAGAATAAGTTTGGAATTATTGCTTACCTCTTCATACTTACCTGGAATAATTTATTTAAATTTAAAACCCATCCTGAACCGATTTTCAACACCCCCGCAAAGTGAAAACAATGTCAGCTGCAGGCTGGTATATTTATTTTATATAATATGTTTTATTACGGAAATTAACCATTTTATGTAGCTTACAATTACTATTACATATAATGTAGAATTATACACATCTCATATAATTTGGGTACCATTGCAATAGCTCATCGCATATGTACTGGTAATTATTGTTTTCCCATTAGACGAATTGAAGTTTTGATTGGACACAAAGTGAAGTTGTATTTTGCATTCTCTCGGATCTGCCTGTATATAACCTTATGTATGTACGTACGCGTTATTCAGAGGATTCAATGGACTAACATTCATTTTACAAAATATACGAAGAAGCTGTCTGATGTCTATATAAGTGTAGGTCGGTTATAGTTCATAATTGCATTCAGTACACTCGGTGATAATGACGACACGGTGTCTTCTTCCTCAAGCTAAGCTTCCTCCGGGGATCCCCCGTGCCCATTGTCTCCATTACAGCTATAAGTAGTGCCGCCAGATACTCCCTGGGGAGTATACTTATTGCGTTTGGTTTGAGCTATTCGTGAGTGTGGTATACTCTAGAGTTAGTGGTATTCGATTTCTACATGTCCTATATGCTGCTTACATTACGGTGTCATATTGTGTTTGATTTCTCTCCGAATTGATGTTTATTTTCCCTTCTCGATTTGATCTCTGACTTGTTCGTTCGTTCGATTTTGTGTGTGGTTTTGTAGCTTCTTGGTGCTAAGCATTCTGCTGCGTGTTCTCTCTAGATTCAATTTGGTTTACCTTTTACTCGTATGTAGTTTTAGTTATGTTAAGGAGTACGTATAAAGTGATAAGCAGTAAGCTTCTATCTGGAGCCTCGCCATGGTGTTCGTTTCGACTACTTTACAGTTGAACGGAAATCTCAAAGCAAATCGTAAACAAAAATATACACAAACATTATGCCTAAGAGTTGGGTATCATCATAGATATTTTATACATATGCATGCCTGGTTAATAATTTCTTGTAACTATCGAAAACCGAGTTCAGTTTTCCATCCATGGTGGGCACATCAAATGGGACTTTCATTGATTTGATATGAAAATCATACAGAGAGGAGGTGAAAGTTACACGAAGCGTTGAATCAAAGTTCTATACAGCAAACATAAATTGGTGTCCATTATATGTAGGTTGAATTTGCCTTCGCTGATTACATTTTCGCATTTCGCAAACATTTATATAGTACGATGCTTCTGAATTATATCTTACACTTACATGCATTTTTTAGGTCCTAAACATTTTCTAATACATTTAATTTACTTAGTGGTTTTGGTTGGTTTGCTTGCTAAATATTTTTTAACTTCGTCTGTCGTAAATATTGGAAAACAACACAACTAAGGAAGTACTTCTTCCCCGAAAATCAATAGATGAAGGGAAAAACGTAGGTAATTAGTACAAAAGAAATATATAAAAATTATATAAATTAAACACAATTGGAGTTAAGATTGGGATCGAGCTCATACTCAAGAACCGTATGACTCTCGGTTCCGCTTCCGTTTCCGCTATTTCCGGTTCCTGCTTCGGTTCCCTCTCGCTAAGCGGCGCCAGCGCCCAGGTGGTGGTTTCCTTGCCCCACTGCCTACTCGTTCAGCTTGTGCCACTCGGCGATCTGGCGACGTGGCGAGTTGCACACCTCGTTCCAGTGGTTCAGGGCGGTGCTGCTCGAGTTGGGTCCGCCCAACTCCAGGCGACCAATGACCTGTGGAGAGCGTCAAGCATGCAATTATTAAGCCACCTTCTCTTGCCAACTAGGACTCACCTCATTCTTGGTCACGCGATCCCAGTCGAGCAGCATCAGCTCCAAGGACACTCCCTCAAGACTGGCTCCAGTGCCCTTAGGAAGAGAATTTAATATTGGATTAACATTCAACTAAGTACACATATTAACTTTCAACTCACCTCAGCTGCGGGAATATCAAATGCAAAACTCTCATTGAAAACGGGGCTCAGGGTCCGCTTCTTCACATGGGTCTTCTTCTTGGCGATACGTTGTCCATTGTAAAGCAAATAGATCTTGACATAGGGATCGGCCAAACCGGTGACATCCATGCGGGGCAAGTTTCTTGCCTTTAGGAGCACCACCGTAAGGCGACCTGCTGCCGGTTGCCAGCAGAGCGAGATGAGCAGTTCGCCACGTCCTTGGGCACGTATCTTGAGGCTACGTGGCTGGATCTCCTTGCTGATTGACAGGGCCTCCTTGGAAATGTCTCCGATCTCAATGGAGGACAATGGGCACACCACCTCGCCGATGACATCGTCCCGCGAGTACCGATCGAAGCTGAGGATTACAAAGTGCAGCGACATATTCTGCAGGTCGTTCATGTTCAAGCCATAGAAGGTGAAGTCCTCGTCGTAGACCGGATTCCTGGTATTCCTCACCACACGGGTCTTAACCTTGTGCTGCTTGTCCGGCAGCAGCTGGAGCTTCACATAGGGATCCGTGGCGGCCTGGGTGCGTCCGTTCATGCCGGTGGGTATGTCGCCAGTGCCACCCGATCCACCCTTGGAGGGCAATCCGCGGCAGCGTATGATGGATACCATCAGGGCATTTCGTTCGGCCAGATAGCGCAGCTTGAAGTAAATGGTGCCCAGCTTGCCATACTGATCGGTCACGGTCAGCTCCTTGCCATTGGTCAGAGCCTGATCGTCCAGAGTGATGGTCACACTCCCATTGGCAATAGTCTCCACCGGCGAGTGATGATGGTTGTTGTGCAGCGACTGCTTCAGCCCATTGCCATCCACAACGGTCAGTTTGTTGCCCGATTGCTGCTCCGAATGGGACACCTCGTCCTCCTCACCATACCGCACATTGGGCTGGGCAATCGGGGAAGTGGACTGGTCCTGCATCGGCGAGAGCAGACCCATCTGCTTGCCTCCGGTCGGCGAGGGTGACTTCTTCAAGTAGTGCGGCGGCTGGCCGCTGGGCGAGCGAACGGCAGTCGGACGCCGGGTCGGCTGGAAGGGGAAGGAGGCATCATGCTGGCCCTGCTTCTTGTTCCGGATGCGCATCTGCTTGGCACAGATGCAGGCCACCGACGAGAGCACGGCAGCAGCGGTCAGACCCAGGATGGCGGGCACAACTGTGGGTAGAGAATGTGGGTGAAGGTATTAGAAATTATGTAAAATAATCAAGAAATAGGAATTAATGTATATAAAACAAAGTGAAGACATAGAAATTTCATTTGTATCAGAACTTGTATCAACTTAGTTATAGGAATTAAATAAGAGGGACCCAAAAATAACAAAATAAAAAGAAGGAAAAAGTAGTTATGTCTGGCAAGCCGAAGTTTGGGGCATATAAATCATAAACAAATCAAATGCAAAGGCAAAATATCCTTACTGTCCTGTTTTATTTCTTTCTGCATATTTTAAGACTAAAGTAATAATTCATGGTCATAAAATGTAAAAAAGGCAAAAAGGCTTTGGCAATATAGCTTCAGCTTGGTTTTATTTTGTCTAGTAAGCATTTATTAAGTAGGTACTATATGTGCATCCTATTTATACATAATATACAGGCATATTTTCCAGTATAATGATAATATATCATAAAAGCACTAACATATTCCTTCGTCTACCTTTTGTTCTTTACAGTCAATAAAGCGCAACAAAAGTCAAGTTGTCACCATTGCGATTAGTCACCGCTGTTAAAAATAAAGGAAAAAGGGAACACTCTCCTGACAGCTGTGTGTTATTGGTAAGTCAACTCCTTTGTTAAGAATAACGTAATAAGTGCCACCAATTCCTTAATTATTCATGACATAAGATCTCACCTAGTAAAGCCTACAAACAAAATATTTAAACCACACAAAACCCTTGAAAAAACACACACACACGAATGTGATTCCCCTTTTGCAAAAACCCAAATTAATTATTCATTGATGGGAAGGGGAGAAACAGAAAACTTTTTTGGAAAAAACTAAGAGGCAACATTTTTTTGGAGTAACTTCCTAATGAGCAAATTGGACAGATCCGCCGCGGGGGTCGCGTTCGTTGCTGCAATATGTTACTTACTCGTGTCCATGACGCTGACATCTGGAATATACTCTTCGGCCATTTTAGTGGATGTGGTGGCTTCGCCGCTCTCCAAGATCTTCCACTCGATGTTCCTCGTAGCTGTGTGTGCGAGTGTGAGTGGAATAATAATTAGTCACAATTTCGAACTTGTGGCAAAGTGTCTTTCGTTTGTTTGCAACTTTTCCGGGGCACGTGAAAATGTGTGTTTGCACAACGATTTTGCGCACAAATGTATGCTAGAGGCTTGATTTTTTTTTGGACGTGGGCAGAATAGCAGCTGCCTCCAGGTTATGCTGAGGGGTTTGCTTTTGTTGTTATTTGCATTACTGGCGAACACACGCGCACCCATACACACACACACACATATGCGCCCAGGGTGCTTGTCTGCGTCGCATGAATCATCACAACCCCCACACCATACACACACACCTGGAGTTAGCTGGGTTTTCACATCTTCACTGGGAAAATGTGTCTCTAAATAATATACTATAGCTCTATCTGTAGTTCTTTAAGTTATCCAAAACTCCTTATCACTTTTTAGCTTTTGTTTTTATACAATTTTCTTATCAACTCTCACAGCATCACTTTTGCTCTTTGGTAAGCCAATTACTTTTGCAGAATTTGTCCAGAAATTGATAGATTTTATGGCCTAAATAATGGTTATATGCTTTAACGACTCGCTTACTTTGTTGATTGTAGACTGTTTTAAAGAATTTTAATTTTCAAAGACTTTTGCAATGCCCACGCTGTGTGCAAAAAAATATTACTACAACGCAGTTCCGCAGCCGTTGTACTTTATTTTGCCAGTGGCTTCTTCGCTGCGACTTGGAAATCGTTAAACCTGCGTCGGCGCACAAAATAAGTTCTAGCTTTTTGTGTGGGCCGCCAGCTAAATGGAGAGCGGTGGTTGAAGAACCTGTGACGTCTTAGCCAAGAATTGGGGTGGGTTTCTGAAGACTTCACAGCACTGGCTTACTCAGGGTTGATTTTCATTTAAACACTACATTTGGGGATTTAAAAAATTAAAAGCTCAATAAGTAATATTTTAAACAACTAGATTTCATATCCTTTTGTGATAGAAATATTAATAAAAAATACTATTATAAAATAATACAATACTGATTAATGCGATTATATTTTCTACTGAATTTTCTTATTAAGATGCTGATAAAAAGTGACCCTCTTAAAACATTTTAAAATGACTTAAATAAGAAGTTAATCTTAGAAAATGTATACTATTTTATTTTTTAATTTTAATCTTTGTAAAAACCGTCCACAAAAACATTTGATATTTATCATAAGTAAAAGGAAAAAACAAACTTCGGGAAACCTGAACTCTTGCATTTTGATAACTAAAATCATCATAACTTAGCCAAAAATATACTAATTTTAATTCGGAAAGCTTTTCTATGCTAGTTTTTATTAGGTTAACAAATATGCATTTTGAGTTTTCAAATTTAAAAAATTCAAATTTGTTTCAAATTTTGACAATTTTAATGATGTAACCCCTTATAAAATTTTAAAATTTGAAACATTAGAAAAAAAAATAGATTTTGACCAGACGTGGATAGATCGATTCGGCTGTTAATTTTGATCAATAATATATATGATTTATAGGGTCGGAAATGTCTCCTTTATTTCGTTTTAAGATTCTGACTGAAATTTTAATACGCTGAAAATATGTTTTATTTTATAATTACATAGTGAAAGATTTTAGATTATTCTTTAACGCAATTTTACAATTGTACAATTTTTCCAGCACCAAGTGTGATAGCCCATGAAAAACCTAACGAAAATCTTATCTACTTCACTCGATTTCCCAACCATTAAGCCACAAGTTTAGGCCAAGTTATGGAGAGCTTAGCTTTAGGCCAGCTTAAAGCTGTCTTTGGTGGAGTTCGAGCTTTGGGCCGCTTAAAAAGCCTGACGCTTGCCGGCCAGAAGCTGAGTCGGTAACGCTCTGCGTCTGCGCGCAGTTCGAACAAGCTAAGAGACCCAAAAAAAATCAAAATAATAATACAAGAAAAGCCACCTAAATAAAAAGTGCTCAAGAGGGTGACTAAAAACCCTAGAAGGCAGTGACTTAAACCATTGTGAGTGCGTTAGTGTGATTTCAATAAAAGCAGCTTAAGAAATAAACAAGTAAACTTAATAGCCCGCAAGTTTTTCTATCATCTTCGGGCCGTTGAGCAATTTTTTTCCCCGCGGCATTTTCGATAAGGAATAAACGATTAATTCAATATTTAAAGCATAAAAGGAAACCAGACACTCTGCCGCTGGACCCAACAATCGTAAGTTGATGCAATCGCTTTTATTTCTCTTCGGTTTGCCGATTTTTCACAACCGAAAAATCCGCAAATGTCCGTTTTTGGCATTGAGGAAGCTCAACAGATTTGGCCAGCTTTTTTGGGCTTGGGATTTGAAATTTGCCATTGTCATAAGGCCCGAGAAACGGAACTTTGTTGGCTCTTCTGATGGCTCATGGCGATAAATTGTGTTGCACTTTTTTTCCGTTTCTATTTTTTGCAATAGCTCCGATTCGATTTGTTTTGTTTGTTGTGTGTGTAGATTTTTGCACGAGTATCTCACGATTTGTGGACACGTTTCTAGACTAAGTTACTGGTTTCTATTTCTTTTTCCACACACATCAAAACGGTCACCCATTGTCTGCCATTTGACCACTAATCTGTTCGATTTTGTGCTCAATTACACGGTGTATTATTCGAATGAATAAGTACACCACACCGCCTTACATTGAGGTGTTTCACGAATGCGCCTGCCAGTTCATTAAACGTCCATTACAGTAATAGGAAATTAACCCGGTTTCTAGCTCTACTACCACCACTTCTTTTTTTAAACCTCGTCTCGTTTCGACGGAAACTTGTGGTATTGAAAGAGATCAACTACTTATGGCCTAATGTTTATGGTGAGTACATTTCGTCTTTTGGATTCCAAACTGAATGGGAATATCCGTTTCGTGCTTGATTTTCTTTTCCAAATTATGTGGCTAACAAGCTGGCATTATGATATAACAAATAGTGAAATACTGTTTTGACAATTAGTTGGGTATTCACGAAAACAGTCGATATTGTTTGTAATTCAAAATTATTAAACAGGAAATGATGGTCTTCGAATCCAATTTCTCTAAGCTTTTTTAGGCAGTGATTAACTAAATTGAGTATTACTCATAACTCTTGTAGAATTCCCCACAAGATTACTAATATTTAATACAAAAAAAAGTGTAGGGATTTCTACGTAAATACCTTTCCCAAAAATATAATTAAGCATATAAAAGATGAGCTAATTCTACTCAAGCAAATATATTTTAATTAATAAACAAATTTCTTCGGAGAGCTGTTAAAAATACAATATTGAAATGTAAGCCATAAGTCACCAAATAATTGCAATAGAAAGTGGTTCCCATATTCCCTAAAAAAATAATTGTACCAATATACTCACCTCCAGTTTCCAGCTAACAATATTTGTTATTGTTGTCAGCAGCAAAATCAAACAAACAATACAGCAAATCAAATATAATTCCATATTAAACGTGCTCATATATTTTTTCGGGTGAACTCATTAAAGAAGAGTTCGCTCTTGATTTGGTTCATGTTCATTTTAAGGCTTTTAATTTAGCTTTTTTTGCTTTCTGCAATTCTTTTTACTGCCGAGAGCACATTAAAGAGGGCGGCGTCGATGATGATCCATCAAATTTTATTGAGGCCAAATAAAAGGTATAATGGTATCGCTGTCTAGGGGGCAATGGAATTAAGTGAACATGGGGACGAGTGCTTTGACCGAATGACACCCACGCTTAGCTTTCTTTTCTTCAGTTGTTTAGTTGGCAAAAAAATCTTAAAAATATAAAAAATCCACAACAAAAACTGTTTGCACACACGAGTCCCGTGGTTTTTTTTTTTCTTAAAGTCATGTTCAAATGTCAGCGGCAGATAAAAATTTGTGTGTTTCCATGTTTTGGGAGCGTGCTGTCGCCGCTTTATCTGCTGCCAACATTTTGTTGGGCAGCTCAACAGGGGAAAAAGTGAGAGAAAATTCGAAAAAACCGTTCAGTGTTGTTTGCAAAGGCAAAAAGCCTTTGGCCTGGCTTTTGTTACTCCTCTTCAGAGACATCGATTGACTTTTGCTGCCTGTTGTCTGTTATATGTTATGTTGTTTGTTTGCCCCGGCGATTGTCTGCTCCCTTTTTTTCTCTGGGCTTTTTGGCATTCGTTCATTCAATCCGCGCCGCATTGAAACGATCTGCAGCACGTAGCCCCCTTCTTTCTGTAGTGAAGTCTCTGCCATTTGCCATTTAAATGGTCTTTGGCTCGGCCTTATTTGTTTACAATTCGTTATGGCACACTGCCAGACCCGGACAGGGCCAAAAGCATTCGTACCATGAGCGTGAGCCGACAAAATCTTCAAATGGGACAAATTTTGAATGGTTTTCGGGGAATTTTCCAAGAAGCTGGATTAGCATATTGTTTTTGAATGAAATAACTGAAAATTCACGGAAAAAATGGGGTTAATACTTTCTTCGCTTGCTGAAAATATTTCTTACTTATGGCAATTTTAGTTTGTCTAGTCTTTCTTTACCTATTTTATACCTTTTTTTTATGACTGGTTCTTAGTGTTTAAATCTATATCGTTTTTGCTTTCATAGTAATAACTTCGCAAACTCAAACTGATATTTTTTAATTAATAAGTTTTAGCTTTCAGAAAGTATAGAGGTATTTGATTGAACTTCAATTAATTTATTTCTCTTCAAACAATGTTTAAATTTTATATTTTTCTTGCAGGGAATATCTATTTTGTTTAATTATTAAATTGCTTAATATAAAATTAAATACATTTTATTATAATAGAGACTCAAATTAAATTAAAACCTTGACAGCTAAATTTTTCTTATATGAGCAAGGTTAATATCATAAATAAAAGGTATTTAAGAGCTGAAATGTTTTAATCATTCGTGTATTTAGCCCTGAAAGCATACCTCGTACCGAAAAATTCTCTTTTCCTGTATGAATTAAAAATATTCAAATACATAATAATTTATTCAGCAGCTACCAGTGTTTCCTGGCTTATTAACAATCTCCAGATTACCCAACTCTCGAATTGAGCCCACTATCGACATTCGCTTGGCCTCTGGGCGTCCCCGAAAATGTTATCCTAGAAGAGACAAGCGTGAGAAATGCCGGCAAGACATCAATTACGGCACTGGCCTGTTAACAAATTCACTCATTTAGCAATGAAACTAAAAGTGTTGTTACTGTCTAGGGGCCACAAAGCCAAAGACCGTAGACCACAGACCGAAAACCGAATACCGAACTCACGAAATGGCAACCCAGTTGACAGGCAGCTCCTGAACAATGTTGTTCGATGCTGAGCTGCCCACCTTAGTTTTTCACTGCCTTTTTTTCTTCCACAAAATTTTCCCTCTTTTTGTTTTTGCATCCGCCTCCGGGGGCCACCAAGAGATGTGGATGCTGCTGCTTTTTGCCTTATCCAGCAGCAGCACGTAACCAGCGATCAATCAAGGCACTGCGATCATCTGGGCTCTTTGACAATCGCCGGAATGATGCGCCGCGCAATTGCAGAATTTCACCTGGAGCCTAATTGTATGGCAGACCGAAGTACGGAGTACAGAGTACCTCGTACCGAGTACGAGTGCCACGTAATTGGCAACGCCAAGGGTATTACATGCGGTGCTGCAACATTTTGCCCAGTGAAATGCAACAAAATGTTGTAAATATTCAATCACGTCGCAGTTCGTGCAACAATAGCCCAGGCAACCGAAAAAACCAAAATTTAAATAAATTATGTAAAACAGCTTTTTAGTTTTCCTCGAAAACGAAAATCTATAGGTTTTTGTGTGGTATTTCCGTTTCTGTTTCTGGTAAAAACAAAACACCATTGTTAGTCGTGCCGGTCAATGCCGTCTCAATAAATTATAGTTTGCAATTCTCTGGAAAAATTAACAACACAAAACAAATAAAAGTGCAATTACCAATCAGCGAGATGTACACGAGGTTCGATTTTATTGTTTTCCCCTAAGAGGCTTTACAGATTTTTATCAATATTGACGAGCGATTGTTTGCTAAATCTTCGGAAATCCCTGGAAGCTGTACCTCTAAAAGAATCTGTTACCAGTTATCCAACTATTAGTTGCTTCTCTTTTATTGCCAGTTCGCGTCAATCCGTTAACCTGACCAGCGTCAGCAGAAGTGCATTAACTAAATATTGCCTACTAACATTTAACAATTACGTGATGAAGCATGACAGGAGTGAAGCCCAAAACATCACCGACTGCAACTTGTTGCCTGCGAATTCTCACACAAAACATTCGCACATTGTTGATGGCGCGTTGACACTGGCTGTGTTGCTGTGGAAGGGGCAAAGAAATCCATCGTGAAGTACGCAAAAATAGCAAGAAACAAGGGGAAAAACAAACTAACCGAAGTGTGTACACCCTTCCAGTTAGCCACCATCATTCAAATGTGCAATCGATCAATTTGAAAATTTTTATTAGGATCTTAGCTCTTAGTTTTTAGGTTTAGGTACATTTGTAGGCCATTTTTTCTAATGTTTAATTTCTTATTTATTAAATTTTGATTCCAAATTAAATTAGTTTTGGCATTGGCTTTTGGTTTTCATATACCAACAAGACAACCTAAATATTATATTAATTCTATATTTTGATATGCTAATTTCTTGGCTAAGTCTAAGTTTTTCAAATATCATAACTAAGCTAAAAATGCATTAATGTCAGTCCGGGTAGCTTTTTTGTGCAAGTTTTTATATCGCTAACAAATCTGCATACTGAGTTTTTAACTTTAGAAATGTAAATTTTTTTCAATTTTTGACAATTTTAACGATGTAACCCCTTATAAAATTTTGAAATCTTGAAAAATTTTGAAAAACATAAATTTTGACCAGACATAGTTATTTCGATTCGGCTATTAATGCTGATCAATAATATACATACATATATGAAATATAGGGTCGGAAATGGTTCCTTCACTGCGTTTCAAGCTTCTAAGTGAATTTATAATACCCTGCAAGGATATAATAAAAGATGATATAGACCGAAATTGTAGTTACCCTTACCTAAATATTTTAAAGATTGTTTGGTGTAAATGGTGAGTTTAAAATATGAATATATAGTCACATAAATATTGACTAAAATATTGGTCAAGGTTAATTGCCACTTATACAAAATCCTAATTTTTATATGTGCAAACATCAATGATCAAGTATATTATACCAGGATAACATACATTTATTAAAACCA